TGGTCTCGCACAGTCAGGTATCTAGCAGCTCCATCCAAAATGCAAAAGGAATTAAATTTTTGTAATAAAATGGAAAGAGTTTGTTTTAAATAATTGCCTTCGTTAGGAACACCCGTTATATTAACTATTTTTCTTGTTAATTCATTAATAAATAATGATGTGTGCTTATCTGTTGGTCCGAACGTTTCAATGCAAATGGGTTGAAATATTTTGCTTAAATTGTTTAATGAAACGTATTTTTCATTTTTGAAATCGGACGCTTTAAGGGCAGCAGTGCCCGCCTCCACTGAAGTGTAGCCGATATATCTGTCAGCCATAGTGTGGGGTAAGGTAACGTCCCAAGCCAGGGACCGTCCCTGAGCCCATGGGGTGATAGTGTAACCATCAGGCCTAAAGGCTCCTTCCTCTATCAAACCCATGGGTTTTTTTATAACCGGGATACCAGCCTTTTGAAAACATCGTACCAGGTATTCGTTGACAGCCGTATGTCTGGCTTGTCTTCCAGGACCTAGATGACAAGAAAGGCTATGGTATCCAAGTTCATCAACGCTTGCCCCACATGCGCATTCGTATTCGGTGACGATCTGGGCTCCGAGTCTCAAACCAAGGCTCACGCGAACACAGGAGTCATCCAATCTAGTGCCGCAGGAGGTGATGGGTAGCGCTCTCAACCAGGCGGAGCCCAACTCACTTTTGACAGCCATAATTCTAGCCTTGTCAAAAGTAGAGCCATTTAGTTGCAGCCATCGATCAACTGATCTATTAAGACAGGGGGCGATCCAGTGTTTTTGCGAGGGGCTTTCGAGCGCAACCACATCTCCGTTGGTGACGCGCCACATGTCGTATGTATGTATGTATGTATGTTTTTATGTAAGTAGATTATGCTGCTGTAGTAAAAGGTGAGGATTGTTTTATTTATTTATTTATTGCGGTTCTGTTAAACTGTATGTTTGTATGTATGTTTGTATGTATGTTTGTATGTATGTTTGTATGTATGTATGTATGTTTTTATATATGTTTGTATATATGTTTGTATGTATGTATGTATGTTTGTATGTTTGTTTGTATGTATGCTTGTATGTATGCTTGTATGTATGTTTGTATGTATGTTTGTATGTATGTTTGTATGTATGTTTGTTTGTTTGTATGTATGTTTGTATGAATGTTTGTATGTATGTTTGTATGCATGTATGTACAAAAACGACAACAACAATAATAAAAATAATAATAATAACAATAAATAATTTCACGGAACTTTTACCAGTCAAATTCATTTATAACACTTATATGCACTTGTGCGAACAATGGAATGCAAGAGAGAGAGAACAAGAGAGAGAAGAGAGAGAGAGATAGCTAAAAGTGAATAAAAATTACTTTCTGACATAGAAGTAGAATTCTACATTTCAATCGAAGCAAAATAACGGGCCAGTAAAACATTTCAAACATTTCATTTGTAGCTGTTGGTCTTGGAGACCAGAATTTTTTCTGGGTTGCTAGGAGTTTGTTTAGTTGAACGGGTGAAAAATGAATGAATGAATGAACGAACGAACGAACGAACGAATGAATGAATGAATGAATAAACGAACGAACGAACAAACGAATGAATGAATGAATAAACGAACGAACGAACGAACGAACGAATGAATGAATGAATGAATGAACATAGAGTTAAAAAAGAGAACAACCATTAACCTTACCATTTAGGGCCTGATTTTTCGTCACATAATTGAGTTTATTCCTTGGTATCTTTGTATTTCATTGTGTATCTTTTA